ATCGTAGCCGGCTTTGACCGGCCTCTGGACTTTGCTTCTGGTGTCGCTTCTCTCTTCATGGTTTCTGAGCAGCGCCTGCAAAGAAACCTCCTTTCCGACAAGTTGAGCCCTACTGAGGCAAAGCTCGTGTTCGGGAGCCGCCAGCTCTCCTATGATAATAGGCAAGGCTGTTTGCCCGTCGCCCTCTCGACTTTGAGAACGTCGCTAAGTCGCAGTTGCACTTCCGTAGCCGCAGCAGCCCGGGGCTTGATCGCCCCGAGAGGGCCCACCTGGCCTACTGTGAGGAGGGGCTCCTTGCAAAGGTGCGAGAGATGAGGGTGTTGGACTTCTATTCTCCTCCGTCGCCGCTGCCTCAGTCTTCAGGCTTTGTTTTGAAGCATTCCAGGCCCCTTCGGGGAACGCCGTGCTGCCCCTCTTCAAGGGGCTTGTCGATGAGCTTTGGACTTGAGCCCTCGTCGGCCCGGCGTGTGTTGCCGATCTCCGGGCGCCCGTCCTGGGCTGCATCTTTGCCACGGACGCCTCTGACAGCAAGGTTGCGGCCGTGCAGGCTGCTGTGCCGCCCAAGGTTGCCGAGGAGTCCTGGCGCCACTCGCTCAAGAAAGGTTGTTGGGCAAGGTTCCTATCCAAGCCGCAAGCATGGCTGCGTGCACGGTCTTTGTTGGATTCTGATCATGAGCTGCCCGGTGATGAGTCCCTTGCTTGCCAGGAGCCTGTCATATGTTCATGTCTTCTGTAAGGACGCCCGTCGTGCACATCAACGTCGTCAAGGAGCTGGCTGCATCCCTCCAGGGAAGATGTGGTGCCCTATGCTCAGAACGATGTCACCTAGCAGTTTATCCCAGAAAAAAAAGCCCATTTCTTGCCCCGGGTGGGTCTGAGTGTAACCAACCGGCGGGAGCCATTTTCCGTTGAGGTGCAATGGTCGATCAACTAGCTCCTGAATTGGGACAGCAGGGGGCGTGGCAAACGAAGGATTTCCACAGCTATCCAACAGCTCAAGGGGCTCTGGGTAGCGTGAATACTGCATAATTACATGGATTGCATGGATTGGCTCGCGTGGAAGTCCCGAGCATGAGTTATTGCACTTGGGATCCTCGGGCCCTAACCTTTGAGAGGTGCTCCAGCGCCGAGGACCTTGACGACCCGGCTGTCCGAGCCGTCATCTGTGTGCTCGTCGTTCTTGAGAGCTGTGCGCCCTGCGTGGCGGTCCCGGGCCTATCCAAGGGAATCCAAGAAAAATCCCTGGGTTAGGTGCCGCAGCCTTTCGTAAAGTACTGTTGGTAACGGGCAGTCGGCTTGGCCCAGCGCCGTCCTAAAGCGGTTTGCTCGGGGAAACAGGAAGGCTTGCTGGGCTGAGAATCCTGACTTCTTCTTGTGGTTGCTCCCTGAGTGGTCAGCCTTCGGCAAGCCCTCTTCCGCTCCCACCTACCGGTTTGACGTGTGCCGCTATGGCGCTCGTTGGCGAAAGAGGACCAGGCTGGCGCGGCTACAAACACTAGGGTTCCAGGAGCGCATGCTTTTTGCAAGTGCGGGAAGCAGCGTCAGGTTTTATGTGCCGTGAAATCGCAAAGGCCGTCGTCGCAGCTTGGCCTCAACAAGCAAATCTTAGTGGCCTCGTCGCTAGCGTCGCTAGGCAGCCGAGCCAATCACCCCGGCTCTCCGGGGCGTCAGCGTGTGCGGCGGGCAGGACCTGACCTGGAAGCCCGGCCTCCTCACTGCAGCGGCCATTAGGCTAGAGGAGAAGGGGTGTCCGACATCCTGTCTTGGATCTCCCTCCTGTCTTTCTTTGATCCTTCTGATGTTTTTGGTAGGTGCCCTGCTCTGCTTGCCATGGCCCGGCGCTCCTTGGAAACTGGCTGTACGTTAATGGAAGATCCCCGCGAGTTCCGGCGTACGATTTTGGCGCTGCAGCGGAAGTTTATTGGACTCAGGCCGTTTGCAGGCACAGCTTGGGAACTGGTCAGCAGATGGGAGCCCCCGAGCCACCGTACACCGATTCCTGAACCGCTGCTGAAGGCTTTGGTCGCGTTTGCTTGGCTGCTGTGCTGGAAGGACTGCGCTGGTGTGACTCTGCTGGCTTCTATGGCCTTGGGGCGAAGTTATGGCCCGCTCGCTCTGACCTGCTTCTCCCGCGAGATGACCTTTGGCAGCAGTCTGGCGCAGCTTTTCTGCAGCTTCGAAGGTCGAAGGCGTCGACCCGTGGACAATCAAAGGTACAGCGTTTGAAGGTTGAGGACAGGTGGGCGATCCCACTTTGCGAGGGTCGCTTTTGGAGACCGGCCTGCTCAACAGCCACTTTTTGGGCTGAGTCCTTCTGGGTGTCGCTATCATTGGAACAAGCTGCTGTCCCTTCTGGCCGTCGACAAGGCCTTGAACCTTACACCTGGAGGTCTTCGAGGAGGCGGCGCTGTGCACTGTTACCGTGGCGGAGTTCCTGTGAGCGACGTCCAATGGAGGATGCGGCTGAAGAACCAGGCTACTCTGGGCTACTACCTGCAGGAGGTTGGTGCCATTACAGCTTTGGGGGGACATTCCGAGGTCGCTCAGTTGAAGGTTAGAGCAGCTTGCGGCTGAGCGACGACTGCAGTTTCACTTAACCCTCAAATTGAGGAGCTGATGACCACACGGATGTGCTGAGCGGTGCGAGAGTGCGCTAGCGAAAAAAAGCCGCAAGCTGCTACCCCCACCTGTGTTCAGCAAAGTAATTTGCCTGCTGCCTTGCGCTTTCTGCGGGCTCTCAGCGACGAATCGAGCTCGTCGGCTTACTGCAGCCGAACTGGCCCGGGATACAAGTGGTAGCGTCTTGGGAAGCAACTACTTCGGCTTCTGCCGATTTCAGTGTAGCTGCAAGCGCTGGCTTCGGTGTTCGCGCTACGCACAACCTTCGCCAAGGCGCGATTGCAAAAAGCTTCTCTTTGCACGGGGAAGTGGGCTGTTTGACGTGTCAATGGGACAGGGTCTGCTATTTTGGTTGAAGCATCAAATTTTCAAGGACGGTTGGCGATTTTTTGACTATCGCGTCCGCGTTTGGCGCCGTGATGATGGTGCATGAAGGCTAAGTTTTTTGACATCGCCCTGATGGTGGTGGATGCGGGCGCACGACGATGACGACCGACTAGTTGCAAAGGCCCTCAGGGGTATGAATATTCTTGGACAACTTGATCAGTTGGGGGTTAACATGCAAGGATCCAACAAGTTGCAAGTGTCTGGAGCCTAGAGATGCTAGTGTGGGTCAGCATGGTTTCAAAGGTATCTAGCAGTTTTTTGCCGGCACATCCTCAGACATCGTTTTTTTACCAGCACTGCTGCAGCTCAATCATTCGCTGCGTCTAGTAGTGTGCTAAACTAGCATGCTTGTAATGGCGTATTGATTGCTGAATTCAAAGGTTGCCTTCAGCAAAGTATAGTGGTAACAATATAATATTCCGGTACGAACATCATGCGACGGCTGGGTGACTATTGTTGTCTTTGATCACGCCACAAGCCAAAAAGTTCGGTGAGAATCGCGGTCGTGGAACAGTGGAAAACAGTGGGCGTATCATTGTTTTCTAATGCACGGAGTTGGGCTTTGCCGGGCGGGTCACTTGTTTCAGTGTTGAACCAATCCCGGCTCCAGGCTGCGACAATGAGTTCCCATTTGCCAAAGGTTGCTGACACGTCTACAAATGGTATTGGTCATGGAAGCTTACTTCGGGCCTCAGAGCCTGGTAGGTTCTTGAGATTTTTCTTGGAAATGCACAAGTGGAAAGTTTCAGCAAAGGTGGTCACCATTGCGGAATGAACATGGACACCGCAAGAAACACAGGTAACACAGGTTTTTCCAAAACAATCGCCATGCGATTTGCTCGTTTCCGTGCCAGCGAACTCTGTCGGCGGAAGCTTTTCCGAGCTGTCTCGGGTTTGGACGTTTTGTCAAAGAGCCTTGGACACACAAGTTTCAATTACAATTGTGGCTTGTGAATGTGTAGTCCATGTCATTCCTGTGCAGTTTCCCAGGGATCTCGGAGTTACATACATGTCCAGCAAGGTGTGCCAGGGTATTTTCAACAGAAACCGGGCCCGTCGAGGATGAGGCGCGGTTCGATGCTTCAGCTGTCGCAGACCGCGTGGATGTTTTCATCAGCCATTCGTGGTCAGCTGGACGGTGGCAGTGTCTTGGGTACAGAAAGAAGGTTTCTGCGAAGATAAAGATTTTTGGATTTTTAAAAAACAACAACGAACTCGAACTGATTTTGGAGACTGCCTAGGAAATACCTGGCCGTTTGCCTCTTTTTGAACTTGGGCTTGGCCAGCAAGGCACAGGGACTCCAATGCAACAAAACCATAAGCTTGCTAGCCTGCAGCAAGAATGCCTTGTACGTTGTTGACGAGAATGAGTGAGCAGTAGATTCCCAGGCAGGGCATTGCGTCTGATTTGGACTGGGACCAACTAGTATGGGATTGTAAGCTCTCAACTACGCAAACCAACACCAAAAGATAGCGGCGAATAATTTCGCTGAAACTTTGAAAGCAAGGCGGGCGTCTTGACAGCAGCACTTTCGCAAGGGGCTGTTTTTCTGCGCCTCGGTGAACAACGCTCGATTTTGTTGCTGGAATCTTGACGTCATGACTCATCGAGTCCTGTGGTTCAAGGTTCGAAACAAATCTGGCTGTCTCAGGCTGAGGCGATAGGGGCCAACATGGCGGATCATCGGCTTTGCTTGCTGCACAAAACGGGTCGTTATCTGAAACCAAACATTGCAACCATCTTGGCCTGCTATCCACTATATATCAGAGAATGAAGACATCAGCCCCAAAGTGTTACCTGTTTGACTTTACAGGCAAGGCGTGGACAATGTGAAGCTGCGGTTGAGTGACATATGGGTGACCCAGCTCTTCACCCGGAGCATACAAGGATCCGAAGAGGTCCGTTCAAGGAACACCCCAGTCTAGGAAAGGGGAAGTAACGCAATGGGCTCCTGGGTTCGAGGATTCCATGCTTGAGACCGAGGTGCCCTGGTATGTCCGATCCCACCATGCTGCTTGGTCATCCATCAATCTGATTCTCGAGCCTTCTTGTTGAGTTTCAGTGGCTCCCGCTTCTTCGCAACGTTGAAGCCAAGCTAAGCCGAGTCAAGCCAGAGTCTTTAGTGCTGATGCGTCATATTCATTGTTACCTGTTGAACCCACCATCGGGCATGATTAGCTATCTTTTGATTGACATTTTGGTCTAGAGGAACGCCTGCCCAATCTAGACACCAGCACCAAGGCTTTCCCTGGCCTTGCTGGATGCGCCGGTAGGGGTCTTCTTCTTGCTCCTGGGTTGTTCATGAATGATTGGTATGTGCCAACTTCGAGTCTCCAGCATACGTTGCCTTTTGCTGTCTGGAGCACGCTCTTGCAGTTCAGCATGCGGGGTTGACACTTTATGGTCAAGCGGCTTCTGTGTAAATTTACTCCGTTTGGGGTAGTGTCCCACACTCAGAGGGTGAATTTCCTGGACAAACTCTTTTCATGCTGAACCCTCAAACCTAAACCATTACGTAACCCCTGCATCAACAGGTTCTTCTTTCTGGGGCAGCACCTGACCTGTCAGATTTGGTGCCCCAGCTTTTGGGCGGCTTGGTGCTTATTAGCGTGAAGAATCCTTGCAACCCTGGCAGCTTCCATGGTCCCTCGTGGGCAGGGCACTCAAAAGAATTTTGGCATTCGCCTTGAGCTCGTGAACGAGTTCTTACGTTTGGGGTATACTTCTGGGAATTTTTCAAGTCCCCTCCTCTGGCGCTCTTGTTTAAGAACTCTGAAGGATTATAGCAGAATGGCAAGAAGTGATCTCATTCTCAATATGTCATTTCTTGAAACTTGGGTGTCCGCCTTTGCTGAAAATCAAACGGTCTCAAGACGGGGCACGGGGCATCTCGTGGCCCCAAGAGTGTGTACAAAGCAACGAGGTCGACAAGCTATGCATCTCCCAGAACAACAGTTCGCTCAAAGCTGAAGGACTGGAGGCTGCGCCCGGGCAATTGATGTAACACTGCTTTTTTTTGATGTTTGGATTGGGAGGTTCCAGCACCTCACGTGCTGGGCGAAAGAAAAGTGACTGGTCTTGGTTCGGCTTATGCAAGTACCCGCCCAGGTGCCCACAATTGTGGCCAGCTCCTCAACGATGCTTGTGCTTTGGCTGAAGGTAAATGTCTCGTTTGGGTTGTTGTTTTTTGCAGAAACTTCCTGCTTCCAAGTATCAGCTCAGCATCTAGGAATGCCTCAGTGTATGAACTTTCTCGGCGGTTTCCAGTGAGTTCTTTCAATCAGTACAAGCATGTGGTGGTCATAGCCGATGTGAAGATGCCTTTAGCATGACAAGCAAGCAAGCCAAGGTATTGTGGGACGATACATATTTTCGGAGGCAGTCAGCCAAAGACAGCATCAGGCGTGCATGCAGGGAAACATGCATGCGTGCGGAAGTGTTGCAGGTTGTGGTGCAACTTCGAGCTGTCCCTCTTCGCGAAGTCTGGTGGGCTTGAACAACTCCGCGTGGTTCCTCTTTGGTTGGCACCCTGGCTGTTGATCAGCATGATCTCCTTCTACATCTATGGGCGTCTGGCTTCCATCGCGCTCGACTCCGATCCGTCATTCTCCACTCAAAACCTTGCAGGGTATGCTGTGAATGACAGTGCCCTGGAATTTGGAACACATCGCATACTGACATACCTGGGGAACACACAGTCCTATGACCTGTTCTTCATCCCATCGTGTGTGGCTGGCATCGCATCGTTTCAGCACAAGCTGGATGGGCACAAGGCCATGCTGGAGGGTATGCAGGCCTTCGACATTCGTGCCTCTGAGTGCTGCTAGGTCCCTTCAGAAACCTTTGTTTCGTCTGTTAAGCTATTTGATTCACCGGTCATGTTGCGGCTGTTTGCACAGAGCAGGTTTCAGCGAGACAGACCGCCATGTTATCGAGGCCCAAGTAGCAAAGCTCTTTGGCGGCCACGAGGGCGAGGACACCAAGAAGCCTTTAGAAAGAATTGTGCGCTTTTCTTTGCTAAGATTTTGTACTCGCAGCAGAATTCAATGACTCAAGCCTTCAAGCTTATGGGCATGTTTGTGTCTTCCTGGATTGTGAAGGAGGAAGCTGTCATCGTTGCAAGTTCGCAGCCGGACGACCCAGATGGCGAGTCAAGGCCAGCACCCAGAGCCGCGGACAAGGTGACAAGCCTCTGGCTTTGTTGTAAGCATGATAGTGATAACCACAGTTACAAGATAGCTTTAATCAGAGAGACAATGAGTCTGTTTTTGGGATGGGGTGTGTACTGATCAGGGAACCATGCGATGTCATACTGCCCAGGTGGATGAGTGCCTGGATCGCTTCAATGAGTATGTGCGCGGGCCCCTGCGTGAGGCTGTGGTACAGGATTTGGGAGGAGCAGGCGACTTGTCCTGGACGATTTGCGTGTTGGTCTACACGCCAAGCATGCTGCTCATGCTTGTTGTGGTATGGGTCGGCCTGCCGCTTCGGGAGAGAATGGGCTTCGAATCTGATCGGCAATATCTCCTTGCGAACTACATCGAGTGCTTCATCGCGCTCTACACCAACTGTATGACCCCTGCCCTTCAGCTCCGAATTATGAGTTTCCTGAGCACGAAGATCCAGGGGCCGTCCTTGCGCTGCGTGACCGCTCTGCTAGCGAGCATGCTAGTGAACGTCATGATGATCTCGGCATCTCCGATGTCGTTGGATCCGTTTTTTTTTTTTTGTTGCGCGCCAGAAGCTGCAAGAAACAACAGTGGTCTTCTTTTGTTGGACAGCTGAGGTGTTTGGAGTTCAACTGGGAGCCCTGGAGGCGTTCGTCCTGACAAGGCATCCTGCATTCCTTGGGGGCTTCTTGCTGTGTGCGACACCAATCTGGCTTCAGAAACTTGGCAGCCTAATGAGGTGAAGACCTGTTTAATTATGCCTTTTTTCATTTTCGGTTTTTGCAGCTCAGGAACTTGAGACTTTTCTGGCGCGGCGAGTGTTTGTCTGCGAAGCAGTCCTGCCGCTGTTTCACTGCACAGCCCGGATACAATGTCTTGAAACACGGGTAGTGCCGCAAGAACTATGTTTCTCACAAGGCAAACCGGGAAACTATAAACTTAGTTTCCTGGGCCGTCCCGTCTGTCTCTCGTCATGAGCAAACAGTGGTAGCAGTGAAAAGCCAAAAACCCGACCCTTCAGATTATTTGCATCAACCCCAGGCTGGGGCTCTCAAGATCTAAGGCCCGGTATTTCATTGACCCTCCATAGCGCGACCTGCTACTCCCTACCTCGGAAGTCCATGCTCTTAAATCCTATAGACTTCTTTGACTTGAAAAGATGAGGCTGAGACCTCAAATATGAAGCTTCTCCACTTCGTCCCTTTCCCCTATCAGAGATTGTGGGCGTCAAGGTTGAGTAGTCGTAAGCCCTCAACCCTGTTCGCTCCAAGACAATGCTCTGATCTTAAGTTCGGCATCAAGAGCCTCCAGCTATGTCTCTGGGTTCAGCTAGACATACAAAGGAAACACATCCACAAAGCTGCGCTGGTCCGACTCCTTGGGTTCCTTCTGTTTTTTCAGATTGATGCCCGTGGCATGATGGTGAGCAACAGCTGCAGGATCTTATATCATTGCACCACAATGCCTATGATGCATAGGTCCAGCATTCTGCAGCGCAGACGAAGCTCATTTCCACTTGCAGCTTGGGCAAATCGTGCCCAACACGTTTATTGGGTCATTTCCATAAATAGGGCGACCCCGAACTTTGCAACCTTCCTTCATTATGGGGACCGCCTGCCAAATGTCCCCCTAATTCTGGGAAACCCCCAGTCATCTTCTGAGAGCAGGCTGTCTATGTCGGCTCAGCCATGATGTGATCCAGACAACTCTTGAAGCCAATTCCTGTAAAGCCCGTCCATCCCTGTGTATGTTCCCTACAATCATTGCATTTTCTTGAACTATCGTGCCTTCTGAACAACGCCTGGTCTCTTCAGATTTCCTCTACCTCTTGGAGCCTCACCATTTGGTCATGTGGCGTATGAAGTACAAAGAGCTATGTATAGTCACAATGATCCGTTGGTTTCTAGTAAAGCTCTTTGTCAGACCCTCAAGATGTGACTCTTGCCTAACATGCAGTGATGTCGAAGCATCATGGCTTCGACGGATGGTTCTTGGAAGCCACGTTCGCGCTCCCCTGGGAGGTGCAAAAATGGAACCAGTTTGTTAGGGCCATCTCGAATACTGTATCGGAAAAACCCGGTTTCAGCCACCAGGCCCTCGTTCGAATCAGCCACCAGAAGGCCCGAATCAGCCACCAGAAGGCCCGAATCAGCCACCACGGAGGCCGAATCAGCCACCAGGAAGCCTGATCAGCCACCAGGGAGCCCGAATCA